TTATTAATTAACCCAGAGTATGTATTAATACTGGGGGGGGGGGGGGGGGAAACAGCTGTGCATATCTCTCTGTCAGCATTATAGAGGGTGAACAATTTATGAGTTTACCCTGTATAAGCTTTATACAGGGTAAAACAGATTTATTTAGGGTTTGGACCCCATTGGGAGTTGGGCATCTGAGTGTTAAAGACAGGCACACTTCTGTAAGCTGACTTCAGTTAAGCCTACAGCTGTTAGGGGATGTGGTTCAGACCTGGGTCTGGGTTTGCAGCAGGCTAGCGGGTCTGGCTCAAACCAGGCAGGGTGCTGGAGTCCTAAGCTGGCAGGGCAGGAAAGCAGGAGCAGAAGTAGTCTTCGTGCATCAGGTGGCAGCTCCCAGGGGGTTTCTGTGATCCAACCCGTCACACCCCCCCAAAGAAAAGTGAGCTACTGCAGAACCAGGCTGTAGCTTTAAGCCACTGCTCACATTGCAAGAGGGGCTACACACTGGTAGCTGTTCCCAGAAGCATTGTGCGTGAGGCAGTTCCAATGCCAGTGGGAGCACTGGGCAAGCATGAACCGGAGCTGTCCTTGCTGCTCCCCTCACCCTTTGCCAGCTCAGCTCTGTCCAGTCCTTTCTCACCCACCTTGCCCTTAGGCAGTCTGGCTGCACTTGGGGTGTGGGGCGGGGCTAGGCACAATCTAAGCCATGGTACATGGTTGTTAAATGAGGTCGCAGTAGTGGGGATTTGGAGGAAGTAGATGACAGGATGACGAAAGATGGTTATGAAATTTACCACACTGGGCATGGAAATGCTGCACCTCATGCTGAACATGACTGAACTATAAAATCTACACTTGATTCCACAGAGGCTGTTCTATTGATGGCTCCTGTGTTGCTGGGGGCTCACTGTCATCTGCATTGTTATTGGTCATTTGGGTTTCTGACCTTCTCTTTTCTAGAACATTCTTTCTTAATATTATTTTCATGCTTCCTTCCCCACACTTTCCAACTAGTGAATGCAGATTCCCTGCTCCCAGCCCCAGCTCATGGGTCAGAAGCCCCCCCAGGTCTCTGCTCCACTGCTTTCCTTCCTTGGGTGCTAAAGCCTAGAGTTTGTTCCCTAGCTCTCTTCCCTGGCTGATTGCAGCAACAGAGAGAAAAAATAGCGTAGGGCCATTGTAACTGTAGGTAGTGTTTTTTGTCTTAAAAAACAACCACAAACTTTCCCAGGGCTAAATGTTCTGTCCCAGGTCAGGGCTGCAGATGATGATCTTGAATACAGACGAATCAGTGCTGTTCTGCTGCATGTTGAGGAGCTGGATGCAGAAAAGTTATGATAGGGGCCTCCCTAACCCTGGGAACATGACCGTCTATGGTATCTATAGTGCATCCACCACAGTACCAGCTCAGGGCTGTGCTCACCAGCAGGAACCTCCACCATGGACCTACACACTGGGAGGTTTGGAGTCTGGCCAGTGGATGAATAGCTAAATGGTTCTGTTATCCTGGGCCCATGTGTAGGAGATGCATCATGGTCCACATATGCTACTGCAGCCCCTAGAAAAGGAAAGTCAGGTGCTTTGTGACCAACCTCTGAACTGAGGGAGTGGAAGGAGGAGATTTGAGAGCCAGATCTTCAGCTGGTGCAAACTGGCACAAATGTCATTGACTTCAAGGGAGCTACAACACTTTACATCTCCAACTTGTGTGCTTCCCCTCTGCACAGCTCCTGTGCTCAGGAATGGCCATATCAGATGAGATGGTCTATTTAGTCCAGTATCCTGCCTTCCAACAGTGGTCAATAATGATGCTTCAGAGAATGGTGCAATTATGGGCAATAAACTGCTCATCGGAACAGAGAGTTCTTGGGGCACCCAGGACTGAGAGTTACCTTCTTACCCCCTGCCTCCAGCATGAGGGAGACTTAGTCGTGCTTGGCTGGGTGTCAGCTCCCTACCACCAGCAGCCTTTCCACCACTGACTCAAGCCTCTCCTCGGGGCTATGCCAGCCCAACTTGGCTCTGCAGGTTAATAGGTGCATCCCAGTCCCTGCGTCCTTTTGAATCATTCCCCTGCAATATCTGGCCTCTTGCAGAAATCCCAGATCCTCTGTCCCCACAGGTGCAGTGTACCCCAGTTTACCAGTTCTACCTTAAACTACCACTCCTGTAAACCACACAGCACTTGTGGGCACTTAAATAATCCTCCTTCTGTTTTATGATAAGTCCCAATTTAACTACAAATGGTTACGATACTCGAATGGACCATCACTGAGCCATTAACCCCTTGTGACTAATTTTTATTCCATTATCATCCGTGTGTACATCTCACAATGATTATGAATCTGGACAAGTCACGAGCTTTCTGTAGATCTTTTACTGTTTCTCTTTATGGAGAAATGTCCAGAGAGACTTATTTGGTGTAGTGAGTTTGTCAGGTCTAAGTTGACAGCTGTTTTGCAAGGAACAGGGGACCCTTTGCCAAGGGAACTCTGTGTCACAGAGATTGCTTCCTAACTTCACTAGAGTGGATGGTTTATACTCTGAAGCATGAGGATTTACATCCCTTATACAATTTTCACCTGTCTAGCTACCTCAAGGACCAGGATTTGGCCCTCAGTAAAAGTGGCAGAATTTTAAAAGAATCAGATCATTCCAACACATAGAAGAAAACACAACAATGGGAATACAAAGGGCTAGATTTACACCAGCTGAGGATCTATAGTCTCAAGACACGGTTGGAAGTCAAGATACTGACCACAGACTCCCATTGACTTCTATGGGCTTTGGATCAGGCCGGTGGTTGCGTAAACTTACACCTAAGCGATACGTTATTAGATGCTTGTTGCTCTTCAACAAGCACCTCTCTGAAATAACTGAAGGCTCTTAAAACCCTAAATCGGCATTCTGCAGATCTCTGAAAAGCTCTAACGCTTTCTGAAAATCACTTGCCCTGTGAATTTAGTCTGCGCTAGAGTCTCTGCTGTTTTTGATGGGGTTTCTTTATTATTTATGATAAGAAGTATAACTGCTCAGTTACAGTAAAGTAGCCTGATACTTGAATCTAATTTCTTTGCAATATTGACCCTGTAGATCTTGGGTCATGTTGTTTGTTATACTGCAAACAATGTTGACAGATTCTTAGATTAGAGATGACAGCAGCTTTATAAAGCTGTGAATCTGTTTTGCTTATAAGGCATCTTTTTATTGCTGCTCAGACTTCTTTAAGGAAAAGGATTTTGATCCCAATAAAAAGAAAAAATGCTAATTTTAAGAGAAGTTCTTTACAAAAAACTGTTTAAATAGCTTAAATCCAGAGAAACTCCATGGAATGAAGTTACTCCAGATTTATACTTGTGTCTATGAAATGGGATTTGACTCAGATTTTCACTGCTGTAACTAAGATCAGACATGACTGCATATGTTGTATCTCATTCATTCCTGAAGATAACTTTAGATAGTGAGCCGAAATTCAACCGGTGACCGCAATCCCTCATGGAAGAGTCCTTGGATGAAATTCTGGCTCCATTTGAAATTCCTAGAGAATTTAAGAGACAGTTATAATCTCTCTGTAGGTTTTTTGATCTATCATTTAGAGTTGAATAGAAAATTCTGCAAAAAAGCTACAGAAAAGTTAACTTTTTTATTATATTCAATGGGCATTATGGTAATTTCTATAGAAAGCTATTGGCTTCATCCATATTCAATTCTATAGGATTTTTCCATTAGTGATTCACATGCCAAATGCTGCCTTTTCTCTCCCAGATGCAAGGCTCAAAAGACAGTTAAACTGGTACAATTGTGCTACAAAGTCAAGGGCCAGCCCACATATCAGGGATTCCTGATCCCCAATATACACCTCAGATGATGCTCCACGTGGGCTCCATTCACAAATTAGTTGGAGTAGCAACAAATACAATTTTGTAAGGCCAGATCAGGACCAGGAGACCTGTGCACATGTCTGATATGGACTTAAGTCCAGTGTATTGTAAGAATGTCCAAAATACCTTCTGATCCTGGTTTCAGTATAGCACCCTGGAGAACAGTTAAATGCTAGTGGCACATGCAGGAAAGGGGCAACAGCATCCATGCAGATCTGGTGGCTGGTTTCTGTCAGCAACTGCTACAGAAGAAAAACAACTTTATCATTAAACTCTTTGATAACAGTAAAGAAAAGAATATACAAGGCCCAGTCTGTGTTTGTGACAATGTGTTAATAAATGGGAATTCAGAAGAATGTTAATTTCACTTGGTTCCATCCCTTCGTTTGAAAAACTCAAATTAATAATTTGAGTCAAAGCCTGAAAACCAGTACGCCTGTGAGTAATCCTTACTCATATGAATAACCCCACTGAGGTCAACAGGACCACTACACTCAGGAAAGATTACTCACATGAATAACAATTTTGGAAGACCTAGCCCTTTATTTGCACCCTACTGGGACTTAATTAGCTGTGTGTGTTTTAGAGTCAATTGTTAATCTTCCTGTGTCTATTTGCTGGTGGTAGGGGTCAGACGAAAAACCTTAGAAAAAGATATATTCTCTCCCCCACTGCCAAATTCCTTTCTGTCTTACCTCTTTACAAAGAAGTCAGGTTCTACTAGTGATGCTTTAATTTATATTTTTCTCTGAGACGTCTTTATGTTCTTGTACTTAATTTTTAATACAGTCCATTTTTAACTTTCCAAGTTTGGCTATCTGGTATATATGTTGACTACGTATGTGGAAATAGTTTAAAATAGATTATTTAGAGGGGAATTATTACGAGTTATAAATAAATAAGTTCTTTATGTAGCATTTTGATAGCCATTGCTACGCCTTATAAATTCTAGCATATTGTTTATGAACAGTGTCTCTAAGAAAAGATGGAATTAGAAGTTAAATAGAGTTTTTGTAGCCACTCAGGATATTGTGGCAGATTCTCAGCTGGTATAAATCTAGCCCTGTGTGTTCCTTTCCCACCCCCATGGTTTTGTTTCCTTAGCATGGTAAATTACCTGTCCCTTTGCCTTTATTCTGCACTGCTTGCTTAATATAAGGCATAGGAGCTTCTCAGGTTAAGGAGGGGAAAAAAAAATAAAAGCAGCTCCTTTCTGTGCTGCATAAGATCCAGTATAATCCCCTTAGGGGATGAAATATAGCAGCATTTGGAGTCCAGGGCTAATATGAGGGGGTTGGCAAACAACTGTCAGTTTTAAAGTGCGTCCAAAACTCAGATCTCTGACATCAATGAAAAAAAAAAAGAAAAAGCTACCTCAACTAAATTAGCTCAAAGCTATTTGCATAATGGGTCCAGAGGCGGCACAATATAAGTAGGAAGGCGCTAGCCATGCAAAGAGAACTTCACACCCATTCGATTGGATACTGCAAGTGTCTGTAGTAAAGAAGGAAAACTCTGAAGCTCAGATGTGCAAATACTTCTAAAGAAGGAATGAACTGAAGAGCCTCTTGGGAGAAAGATCAATCAAAACCACAAAACACAATCCAGGTAATTTATAAATTTTTAAGCTGCCTACTTTAACTTTTCTTCTTGAGATTGTACTGGCCAGCATAGCATTCCTCAGCATGCTACTATTAGAGTCACTCTTCAAGGATTTTGTCAGAGGGTAATAGAAGCCTGCCATTAAGAGAGGTAACACTTGTTTTCTGTTTTGAAACGGATGTATTGTCTTGTAAAACTTTTAGTAGAGTGTGTATTCCTTCCACTGAACAAGTCTGCTAGGGATGTTATTTAGCTAAAAGGAACGTGTAGTGACATAGGTTTCAGAAATCAACTTCCCTGCTTGGTAAATAAAGGCTCAGAACGTAGATAAAATGTGCTAGGTGCTTCAGGAATTCCAGAGACCGATCAGAACAAATGTAGATACTATTTTTATGCATGTGGGTTGTAAAATGTGATATTATTCTTTATTACTTGACTTGACCAAAAAGTGGTAGGTGCTATCCACACGCAGACGACAATCCCTGACCTAATAGTGCCCAAATATATTGTATGTATCGCTCTCTCACACACTCACCCTATTTTGAGTGCGTGCTCACGAGAAGCAAACAACTCAGTTGCTTATTTAAAGTTGATTTCTAACTAAAGGTGGAACAGAAACAGTGCTGCAAACCCTGGGATTATTTTAAAGCAGTCCTTTAGTTTCAGAGAGGGAGTTATTTAATGAAAGCAGTTCCTGGGGCAGGTATACATGCATGTGTAAAATACAAAACAACAGGCTAACAGTTTCAAAAGGGAAGACTATTCTAGTCTGATAAAAAAAAATTAAAATGCTAAATTTATATGACATTTAAAACCCAAATAGCTGTTCTGTACAGAACGTAAACTTGCCCTCAACATTACCTACAAAGAATTTACAAATTCTTTGGAGCACTTCAAAACAAAGTGAGAGAGCGGTCAGAAAATTTAAAAAGGGACAGGAAATCATTTCCATGAGAAACTCCAGTCTCTGTGGCAGCACAGAGCGCTTGAGTGCTTTCTACTTTCCCAGGCTGCTTCCTGAGTTACCGGGAACGTTGTAATTGTTGTTGGTTTTGTTCCATTGCCCTCCCTTGTCCTTTACTTTCCCATGAAAGTTGCAGGAACTTCTCTCCCACAATGACATCCGTCCGGCTGCTGCTGCTCTCCCTAACTTTCTCCAGTGTCTGTGTCAGTCTGGGGCAGCCCATTCCAGAAGCAAACGAGAACAGAGATAGAAGCCATTTGGATGACATCCTGCAAAGGGCAGAAAGCATCATCCTTCGGTCTATCCTCAAGACAGCAGAAGAGGGGGAAGAGACTAATAAAGGTAGACGTGACATTGGTGCTTTTAGCATGTTACTTAGATGGAGATCTTTAATTTCATTGTGCTTAATTTCTGGGGTCTGTTTTTCTTTCCTGTAAATAATAAATAAAAGGGGGAAAGAGTTACGCCAGGTGTGACACAAAGAGAAATCAGGAAACGATGTTTTCTTCCCTAGGGAGCTTTACTAGCTTTTACCTGGGAACTGCTGCACCAGATCAGACTAATGCTCCACCTAGTCTGGCATCCTGTAGAAGATGCTTCAGAGGAGGATGGTAGAATCACTATGATGAAATAACCTGCCTGTAGAGAAGGTTCCTGCAGGGGCAGCTCTAAAGTTAAACCAGGGCAAGCGTACTCTCAGCTACTCCCTGTTAGCCTCCTTGCCATCTGGCCGTCAGCTGCTCCTTACCACTCACACTCCCCGTGTCTGACAGCAAGGGGTCAAATTTCCATGCAGTGCCCAGGCTGCCTCTGGCAACATCTCACAAATCCTCTGCTCCCAGCAGCCACAGCAGCCGAAGCTGGCCCTGATGGGGAGCTTGTGCAAGAAAAGGTGCAGGTAGCTGGAGATCTTGCTGCCAGAAGCAAAGGGAGAAGAGAGCTGGCCCTAGAAAGCCCACCCCCACCCTTCCTAGAAACTTACTGGGTTTTTTTTTTTAATGAAAGATTCTCAGGTAGTCACATGAATCCAGGAGCTGGGGCTTTAAGAAAAGGTACAAATATTGCAAGACATGCAATAAAATCATAAGAACTGGCTGCACTGAGTCCCCGAACTTTCAAGATGTCCTTTACTCCCCTGCCTCTACCTGCCACTCAGCCCTATCACTTTCCCTGGCATGCAGCTCCTGCCCGGTACCCACCTCTGCTGGCACTGCAACTCAGCTCCTCCCCCGTGCACGTATCCTGCAGCCCCTGGCCCGACTCTACAGCTTCCCCTTTCCCCAAACATCTATGGAGCAATGCACTAGAATAGCATACTGGGTCCTATCACTGGATTCCCTCCCAATTCTTTTCCAGACTGGACTTTTTTCCTTCAAACCATCCTTGCTGAAATGATCATACGCCAGTCTGCACTTGGCTACCCCATTAGGAGTAACCGCATTCCAGTCTACAGAGTTGCTCTAGGTTTACAGTGGTGTGACGGGGAGTGGAATATAACCCGATGCTCCCTCCAGAGCCATAATAAATATACCCCAGGGAGCTCATAGTTCAGCTTCCAGATGATAACAATAATCACGGAAGTTCATTAACGCTGGTCATTTCCTTGGACAGAAACAAGCGCTCCTCAGCCAGACTGGTTTTCCAAAAGACAACACCCTGGGAAGAGATTCCCCAGTGACCTAGAGAAGAGGCAGCACCCTGGGAAAAGGGAAGATGACGAAGAAGTGTCTTATGGAGAAACTCAGAAGAGACAACATCCAGGGAAAAGGGAGGAAGACGACGACCTTGACAGTGACATGGAGCTGCAGAAGAGGCAGCATCCTGGCAGGAGGTCACTGTGGGACCAGTATGTTGATATCCCTCACACCCAACTGGCCTATCTGAATGAACTATCCAAAAGGCAACACCCAGGCAAGAGGTCTCTGATTTACAACAAGCGTCAGCACCCTGGCAAGAGGAGCTGGGATGACGGGCTGGATCTGGGCAACCAAGACCTGGAGAAACGCCAGCACCCTGGAAGAAGATACATGGATTCTGAAAGCCCAGATTATGATGCCCCCTGTGACCGCCCAGATTCCTTCAACTGTAGCAGCTTCTTGCTCGAGTTACTAGATAATGTCAACAAGGGCAGAGTAGAAGAGAAGCGGCAGCATCCTGGGAGGAGGTTTGCTTGGGAAAGTGAGATGGGGGCAGAGGAGTGAGAAAGGGCGATTGCATTGGCCATCATTTACATTTGATTCAGAGTGATCTGCCAGACTACTTAAAGTTCTGTTCATCCCCCCCACCCCCAGACTCTCTGCTGCTGACCTGCCATACGAGTAACTCCTTAGAAATAAAGCTAAAGTCCTCGAGGATTAAAGCCCTGATTCAGCCAGGTACTTAGGCATGTACATGGTCCCACTGAAGTCAATGCACTACTCACACATTTAAAGTTAAGGATGTGCTTAAATACCTTGCTGACTCAGGGGCAACGGGCCTAATCCTGCCAAGTGCTGAGTGCCTTCAACTCCCACCATCATGGAAATTGGGGGTGCTCAGTATCTTACAGGATCAGGCTCTAAGATGACCCCTTTATGTGCACCCACCAATTGTATCCCCTGAGGACTAGAATGGCCCCATTATATGCGTTCAGGATACTAGATGGTGAAGCAGAATAATTACATGGCTCTTATGTAAGTGAAAACAAGTTAATTTACAGAGAGGGAGAGAAAAAACATATGAAGTGATTTCAAAATGAAATTTAACAGGGTGTTACTTTTAAATGATACATTAGTGAAACATGTACGCTTATGCACTTCAGCCTATTCTGATAATAAACATTAATTCCTGGGCAGAGAGAGGCACTATGCACGAATGTAACAGATTGGCTGTTTAGCTTTACACCTTGCGTTCAAACAATTGACTCAAAACCAAACAATATTTCATTTAGGAAACTACAGAACAAGGACATTTAATGTGTCATAACAATTCAACAAGTTGAGAAGATCCCTGATGTGTGACTACATAGTAGGGTCCCCTAATCAATACAGCTACATTTCAGTCATTTGATTTGAAACCGATGTGTTCTCTTTATTAGATAGCAACATTTTGAATTGCAACAAGCAGGCATTTTCTCGATAGGAGAATTTTTGTTGTTCTTCTAATTAAGTTTCTCCCCTTCCCCCTAAAAAATGTTTTCAGTGGTCTACAGATTCTGCAAGGTGTTTATTTGGCATGAACAATTCAATAAATATCAATAGTCAATCCCATCGTAACTTCGGATGTCCTTTATGGTTGTGCAAATGCAATTCAATAACGTGAAAAATATCAAGTCCTCTTGAGTTTCATATGAAAAGTTATTTTTATAGGGAACATCATCTTGCGTCCTGGTGGTTACTACATGTTTGTATATAGAACTATTTTGCTATTGAAGTGGAAGCCTGATTTGTACAAAAGATAGTCGAGTCCCTTTTGAAACCTTCTACTTGTGTATTATAATAAAGTTATGCACCTGGAATAAACCTACAAGCATCCTTGTTACACAGCTGCACAATGAACTTTGGTTATTTAAGTCTGAGCCTTGTACACAAAAGGATGCTCTAGTCTGAGTCAGACTGGTCCTACATAACGTACAAAAGAAATAAAATGTCTTCTGTACATGTACAAGTTGAACCTTGAAACTTGAGTCAACCTGTGCAGCATGGGTAGGTGTCTATATGTAGAAACCCATTCATGCCAGTGATAAGAGATGGAGTAATTCACCAGTTCTTTAATGCTTGGACAACACTTAATGCTCTGTGCTTAGTAACCAGTTACACAGGTGTAAGTGAGATTGGAATCTGACCTGGTTACTGCAACTGCATGAACAGATTGTGTATTTGTACACACATGCACACAAATCTCACATTAGATATCTAAGCAGTCATTTGCACATGTAACTACAAACAGTTGTATGTGTGTTTGTGGTGACCTGCAAATTGGCCTGCAGTACACACCATCCTAGGTCAGACACTGTGCAACTCACCCTACAGTGTATCAGCAGCAGAGCCAAGAACAGAAACTAGGAGTGCTGACTCCATATTTCCTGGTCTTACCTCTAGATACACTGATTTTGTTGATCAATCGACATTTATCAAGTGATGTTGATGTCACATCTTCTATGTTAAAAGTAGTAGCACGATTGTCAATATAGCCCATGGTTTAAAAAAAAAAAATCTGGTTTTTCAAAGCAGCTTTATCCTACTGGATTAATCTGATCAAAACATTTTAATACAAAACTTCCATCCTATAACATACCGTTTCTTTTCATAGGATTCCTAATATATAGCTTTTTTTCCCCTGGAGAACTTCTCTGCTAAGACATGTTGGTGGTGCCATATGGGTTTATTACCCCGGAGAGAAATAATTAATAATCTTAGCAAGTTTCACTGAAGTTAGAGGTTCCCAAGGCGACTCACATGCAATGTGGTCAGTCAAGCAATTTGCTTCTTTGGAGATAATTTGTCCTGTTATATGCCCGTAATGACTGGCAGGCATCAATTACTGGCAATGGCTTTCTAATTAACAACTGGCGAGTAAATCCTCAAAGCAGATAGATGGGTACATCTTGTACATTTCAGCATCCATTGGCACACTTTCTGCATAAGATGCCTTTTAAAGCAGGTATTTCTCATTTTGTAACGGAAGAAAGGAATTAGTTTAAAGACATTTCCTTGTACATTATTCCATGCATCATTTCCTATTTATCAGGCTTTTTAAAACAGGGAGAACCCTAACAATATGACATGTGACCACCACCATGTGTCTTAACATGTGCAAAATAAAGAAATGGGGGTAGAATGGTTTTCATAATTTCAGGAATGGACAAACATTCCGTAACAACAAACACAACACAACAGAGTCCCACAAGATGGGGACCCTTGTGAATCTACTCCAAAAACGCAGAAGGAAGAACATGCAAGAAGCCAACGTTTGAAAAAAAATAAAAATAGACTGATGTACTTCTGCAGCTGTGTGGGGCCTTAGGGAAACTCTCCATCTGCTGGTCAAAGTTATTCATACGCAGCTACAAGCTAAGGTGCTAAACGCGAATGAAGATACAAGGGCACAGTCAGAAAGTCAGACATCATGAAAAATACATGACCTCTATTACTAGCAGCATTGCAGATAATTAAAAAAGGTAAAGAGTTTAAAAATCCAATTTAATCTTCATTCTGGATACCTTTTGGTTTTGCACTTTTCTCTCAGAGGAGAGAATGAAAATCAGCAATTCAGTTTCACTTTTTTCTACGATTGGTTTTTATTTCAGGATTTCAGCACTGTCGGGGGATGTTTATTTGTTTAAAGAAAACCATCACCTCTGTTAGATTTCCTTTTTAAAGGAATTATTTCTGTCAGCATTAGATTTTATAAAAGCTTTTTTTTGGGGTGGGGGGTGGGGGAGAAATATACATTTTAGGCCAAATCTGAGCTGACAATGTTTTACATAAACTCACGTTTAGCACGTTTTTTTTGTGACTGCAATTTTTTATAATTGGCATGAACTTGGTAATGAAGTGCGGCTAGCATTGAACTAAGCCACGCAGAGTGTAAGCAGAATGAGATGTTAGGAAATCTTTCCTCACATAGTTCTGCCAGCACACCTCAAGCGTAAGCCACAACTAGGCCTGGCTGGAAAATCATTCCATTTTGCAAACAGATTTTGAGGTTTCAAAATTTTGTTCTGTTCCATGGTGGCACAAAAAGAAAACCCTTAGAATTTTGTCATGAAAACCTGAGAGACCAAGACATCCCAGAATAGCGGATAGCCTGTTAGTACACTTACTTACAGATGTGGAAGACCCCATCCAAGTCCCTGCTCTGCCATGAAATAGCATTTTTCAATAGGAAAAGTTTCAGGTGTTTTTGACCAGCTCTTTCCACAACACTCCAGCTGTTCCAGTGCTGTGCCCCTGAAAAGCTCTGGACCAGCTCCTGAAAAAACAGGACTCTCAAGCAGAGACCAAACCCAGCTGAACCTGCTGGTAAACGGAGGGTGTTTTAACCTGGTAGTCCAGTCAAAATTGGGTGAGTCATGGGATTCCACTCAGAAAAGTGCAGGTGTTGGGCCCGTCACTGGCAAGACGGTTGGGGTGTGTCTACACCAGTGGTTCTCAAACTGTGGGTTGGGACCCCATAGTGAGTCATGACCCAATTTTAATGGGATTGCCAGGGCTGGCTTAGACTTGCTGGGGCTCATGGCCAAAGCCCAAGCCCGAGTGCTTCAGCCCTGGGGAGCGGGGCTAAGGTTACAGGCCCCTTGCTGGGGCTGAAGCCCTTGGGCTTTGGCTTTGACTCCCCTGGCCTGGGGCAGCGGGGCTTTGGCTTTGTCCCCCACTACCCGCCAGGGTGGTGGGGCTTGGGTGGGCTCATGCTTCGGTCCCCCTTCCTGGGGTCCTGTAGTAATTTTTGTTGTCAGAAGGGGGTTGCGGTGCAATGAGGTTTGAGAACCCCGATCTACACTTTGAGCTGGAGGTGTGCATTCCAGCTCAGGGAGACATACCCATGTTAGCGCAAGCTAAACAGAGCGTAGCTGTGGCAGCGTGAGGGGCTAGCCTCCCTAGTGTGGTAATGGGTACATATAGGGAAAGCTAGACCTCTGGCTGCTCCACCTTCACTCCATTTTAGTGCACTAGCTTGATCAGAGCTAGTGTGGGCAGCTCTCCTCTCCGTAGGTTGGAATTCACACCTCCAACTTGAAGGAGAGAGATCACAGCTGTAGTTCACCCTGAACTGGAACGGTAGTACAGTCCCATTTGAAATACTCCTTCCCAATGTCTGATAGCAGCTGTGAAGTGTGCAGGTTGGATGATGAAACATGAGATAATATTAGGGAGGATCAGAGCCCTGGATCTGAAAATCCACAAACTTTGTTGGGAAGGGGGAGGTTTGGAGCCCGATCCAAACTTTGCACGTCAGTATAATTGCTAAATAGCATTTTTCAGTTATGTAACAACCTTCATCCCATACATATACAAGCATCATTGAACCTATTACTGAACTTCAGCTACCTCTGAGGCGCAGGGTGGCAACTACTCTGACTCTCAGCTCTTAGTGGGGGAGGAATTTGGCCAGGGCACTGGGGCAGAACTCTATTCTTATGAGATATCTAATCACCACGCACAGCAGACGGACCTAAGTTTATCGTGTCCCACCAGAAAAGACACGGAATGCAGCTTCTCAGCCTTGAAAGGCTGTAAAGCTGACTGCACCCCGATAGTTCCATCGAGTCTATGTATTTCAAATATGATACTGCAGGCACTAGGTTAGCCCTCCAGGTGACAGTGTTTAATAACGTGAACAATGGAGCACGTAGGACAGGGATGGAAGAGTCAGAGAGTACCAAAGATTGTGGCAAGCCTGAGAAGAGAGCCCAGCACGCAGAGTTGGGACACTATTAATCTCTTCCATATGCGTTTATATAATTGCAGGGTAGTGGTGAGTCAGTGAGATCTTTAACTGTCAAGCCATTGCACACGCATGATTATTTCTAAAGATGTCAGCCCTGGCTCAGTGAACCTCGTTCCCTTTCTAAAGGCTCAGAAATCCAGTCAGAACTATGGCTTTGGAAAAATAAACCCTGATCTCTAGCATCAGCTTCTCAAGAAGGCAAGAATATATCCTGATATCCACACCAGCTCTTAGTTAGGACCCAAATGTAGTGGTCATATTGGGTACTGAGCACGTCTCAAAATCTGGCGCTTGTTTAGGTGCCTAATTAAGAGCTGAGCTCTTTTGAAAATATAGCCCCAGCCAGTGCAGGGTGCTGAGCCCTTGACAATCTGACCCGGAGACATTCCTCTGCCAGTATTAACCCACTGTGCCATCTGAGTACGAAGAGACTCATGGTGTGAGTGTCAGGAAATGTTCTCACCTTCTTGAGTAGTCGAGGCTAGAGATCAGGGTTTATTTTGTCAAAGCCATAGTTGATTGGATTTCTGAGTCTTTTCAAAGGAAAAGAAGTTCACTATGCCATGGCCGACATCATTAGAACTAATCATACATGTGAAGTAGCTGGACAGTTAGAGCTCACTGACTCACCACTACCCTGCAATCTGGCCCTGAGCTCTTTGAAAAAATCTTACCCTTACTGAGCTCATGCACAGGGCAGCTGGGGGAGAAAAGCAAAAGGTGACTAAGTCACCCTCATACCTTCCTTAACCCTTGTCTGGCTGGGGGAGAAGGGGTGCAAAGCAGCCCCTAGTACAAGTTAGGGCTGCTCTAAGCTGCACCAGTT